GATCTTAAAAATAGGGCCATTCACTTGAGAAAGGTATTTACTAATCCCAAGATGCTTCAACCTCTGTTGACATTCATGTTAGCTGACAGCAAAAAACTATCACCTTGACTGGCACTTATACGTATACACAACTCTGTAAAAATACCTTGATCCAGTCTGTTTGAAGCTAGGTAGGGAGTAGGTACTCAGTAGTCAAAGCTCACATGTTACTATGGTAACTGTACCTAATGCATAAAGCAAGGACAAAAGACCAAGAGTAAACTTTACAATTCATAATCAACATCAGCCTCTAAATGAGACAATCAGTAAACTGACTTTAATGGTTATCTTTTCGGACTGAGCACATTTTCTGAATCATTTATGGTGTAACAGTTACAATTTCAAAATACTTTTTCAATATGCAGCACCAGCACTTTCATTACTCAATTAATGCAACTGCAAAAGAGACTTTAATTAATGCATTCTGCATGAGAATTTAAACAACAAAATCAGGGGATCTCAACCATTTCTCAACTGCAAAACATTTAAACACATCTCTTGTTGCAAGACCACCAACTTAACAACTGATCATGTCTTCCCGAGACAGGACTAGCATGCTGTGGTGACATAGTGATCGACACCAGCCAAAAGACCTGCTGTTCCAATGGCCCACGAGATGGGGTGGGCAAATGCTGCGGCCAAGACAAGCTATACGATGCCTCCAATGAAATCTGCTGTGTGACAGGGGTGGGACAAGACCAAGTGAGTCAAGTGCATGCAGTGGGCGAGGATGCCATCATCGATGAGACTGCCAGATGCTGTGGGCTGGTTACTATAAATACGACCGAGCAGCGATGCTGTAATCAGGTAAGGTTTACGTCGCACGCAGAAGCATTCACTGCAGCAAGTCACTCACATTCAGAGGCTAAACAACGGGCCAGAATTTTCTGAGGGCTCCTTATACAAATTTACCATGATCCTTAAAAGAGTTTAGCTTCAAAAAAAAGGTTACCAGCTCACATCACATGTAACACATATTTATTCTAACTGGTTCTCTTTTTTTATAGCTAGATAAAAATGTGCTTGGCACTACTTGTGCAATGTACATTTTGCTTCTCAGCTGTGTGCGATTGGCCACATGCTTAGAGTCTCCTAGTGATCAAGGCAAAACCAAGTTCTTCATTCATCCTCTTCATTCTCCCAACAGATTCCACAAGTAAAAGCCCCTTTCAATGACTGCTGTGGCCAGACAACCTTTGACCTCCGCTCGCAAGTTTGTTGTGAAGGCACTGTGAGTGAGCTTACAGATGGAAAGACAGAGTGCTGTGGAACGATTCCCTTCAACTCAAACAATGAAGTGTGCTGTGGCTTATCGACAGAGAGAGTTTATCCAATTGGTAAGCACGTTCACAGTCTACACAAGGAAGACAGAACTCAAAATCCACACACATGTACGCATAGTATTTTGATGAAGTTTAAGGATGAGCAGTATGCCAGGCTAGCTACTTTGGTAAATTACTCTAACCTCACACACTGTAAAACCCTACATCCTTAAAACATTTTTTCATGAACCTTTCCGAATCCTACCAAAGCTACAAACAGTAGAAGAAACAATGACATTTTGTTTGAACTCTGACACTCCCGATGCAGAAAGCCCAATGCTACTGGACAGGTGGCAGGGCTCTACCTTCCTCAATCCATTAACTTCCCCTGAAACTTCCTGGTAGATTTTTAAGAATCCAGGAGGGTTAGGGTTAATGACCACTCACTCCCTTCAGTGGATTTCAGCTGGCACTGGGCAGTCCTGGATGACACACTGTCCACTCGTCCATTTTGATAACAAAAATGTGAGACTGAGTTCCAAAAGTATTGCATTACTGACAAAATCTACATTGATGTTTTTAACCAGGTCACGGAAGGTGTTGTAGGCAGAATCCATACTCCCCTGTGCTTGAGTCTTGCTGTGGTGGGCGTAGAGAGTCATTGCCAGATATTGAGAACATCCAGGGGTGCTGCGGTGGTCAGTCGTACCTTAAGACCGACCACCTTTGCTGTCAGCAGAACAAAACTCTGATACGGCCAAACACAGACTGCTGTGGCAGAGGTAAGCTAGCTCCCTTTCAACACTTTTTAAGTGAAAATGCTCTGCAACCTTTTTTTGCGTTAATAATAAACAGTTCTTATAAAGCTCATAATACTATAAAGTCTCTAAGTGCTCTATTATCGTTATCCCTGCACTTCTGGCTCACTATAACTGAACATTCCTGAAACCATCTCATTTCCCTGGGGAGTATACTAGCGTGATGCTGCCATTTCGGCGCAAACGGCTAAACATAACTGTGTCTGCCCTCACAGGTACCCATTTTTACTCCTGGGTGAAGAGAGGCACATAGGGCCCAGGCAAAGCGACTTGCCCTTGTAACTTTACATGCTGCCAACAGCTGGATTTGAATCCCCGATCCCATGATCAGAAGCAACAAGCCCTAACCACTACGCCACACGCACATATACTGTTTCACGAACATGTACCGCTTCTGTGTTTTGTGTAAGCAACTTTCATCAAGCTGCTAAGCAGATGAAATTGAAACAATCATATTCAAAACTCTTTAATGCACACACCATTGCACAAGAACAGGTACAGCAGCAAGTTTCCTGTGTGTTTCTATGAGACAGCACAAATCCCAGGCTCTCAGGTATTGATATTGAGTACACAAACAAATGAACCACCTCCCCAAATGACACACTACCATGGACTGAACAGGTTGTCTTCTACAACTGCAAAGTTTTCCTTTCTGTCTCTATCTCTGAAGGTACCTACGACATGAGCAGTGAGATGTGTTGTGATGGCTCAAAGCTCCAGCGTTTCTCTCTCTCTCAGCGCTGCTGCGGGAAAACCAGCTACGAACCCGAGATAGAGACCTGCTGTTCCAGGGTGGGCCAGAGTTTCCCTGGGTCAGGCCTGTCCTGCTGCTATGCAGACTGGGGACAGGAGACCAAGGCATATGACCCGGCCAGCCAGACATGCTGCAGAGGCAGAAGACATGGTATGTACCCAGTATGTAGGCTAGAAACTGAGTAGGACTCATAGAGTTATATAAAAAAACTACAGCACTGACTCATGTACAAAGGGATGCCTGCTGGGTGCATCCATGTTTGTGTACAAACCAGTGGAAAACGGGAAATTTTGTATGGCTAATTGAATATCTGCATTTGTATTCTATACCAGTACGCCAATAAAGTCAACATGCAAACAACCTGATGCACAAACAGTACATGAGCCTTTCATTTTGCTCTGTGCGAAAAAATGCAACTGGGTGCGAATAAGCACTGCACTTGAATTTTGCTGTGACCTTTTTTCTAATCAGATTTTATCAGTGCCTGACGCAAACAACAGTTCCTGTTCCAGATTCATCAACTCACTTAACACCAACTGAATTAAGGGAACAACTTTTGAATTTAGCCAAACTTATTCATCGAAAGACAGCCATTGAAAGACATGCACACATAATCGAACAACCTTGCTCAAATGTTAGGGAAACATTTGTTTCAAAATAATCAGCTATGGATGTGCCATTGCTCTATACATGTGCATCTTATTCAAAACACGCGGTGACATTCACATATGTTGTAGTTGTGCATTGCATTCAGAATACATTTTTTGATATTCATTCAATCTGATTGAAAATGTTCTACAAGCACACACACGGATTCAAAATGTCTGCACCCAGGACGGCATCAAATTTTCTCTGCAAAGAGAATGAGAAGTTAGTGCTCTAGTTTTTGTAGCTCTATGGTAGGACCAGAACTTGGTTCCACAAGAGCATTGTTCATCGCCTGACAAACTCCTCTGTAATACGCATACACTAAATAATTTGCTAAGGAAACCACACAGGCACTCGGTAGAACTGCAGAATTGTGGAATTTTCACAAACTCATAAAATTCCTAAATTATGTACTACTGTTCCCACAAAAGGGGAACATCATTTGTTGTTAAAGTTACATGTATTGGTACATCTTAGAAATAGATTAGTATGAAATCAGAGAGGCTTAATTGTATTTCTCTTTTTGTTACTACTTTGAGACTTTATGACATGAAAAACAATGGTTTCTCCAACTATAGGTTGAAATGGCATACGTGCATATTGTAACATTTACCGTCAAGCATAATTACATCAACATTACGAGAAACAGTGAAATGGACAATGTGCATGTTGCTTCTTCAACATGTAAAAGCAAACAAACCTGGTTTGAAAGGCACAATGACATCCCAAAACTGAAAGCCAACAGTTAAGACTAATTCACCAATGCATTTAATGGCTTTTCCATCACGTAGTTGGTGTCTTCAATGAGCCAGCAGCAGACGAGAGATGCTGTGGCAAGTCACTCCTGCAAGACAATCAGCTTTGTGACACTGCTCGGCAACAGCCAATCAACAAGACCCGACCTGACCATGATGCAGTCTGCCGACCATTGAACAGGCGGACTGGCAGGCCTATGCGTGGTGGCATGCCGGTGACATATAACAGCGAAGACCAGGTAAGCTTTAACAGGGAGAATGGATCTATGATGCTTAGTTATCCAATTAAATCACACACATTAAAGAACAGGTACCGGGTGGGGGGATACAAGCCTGCCTAAAAGTAACCTTCAGCTAGCATGTCTACGTGCCTCTGTATTCAGAATGTGATCAGGTGTTTATGGAATAAATAGAAATTAACAAGTCATGGGAAAGAAATTCCCAATTAGCACTATTTCATGAAAATTTTGAAAAAGCTCTAGTGCTACATACACTACATAGGTCTTATATTAGACTTCGATATATTCACATCTTGAGTACATCTCCACATCATGTAGGATCTGAAGATGTATGACTTACGTTAATGATTAGGAAAATTAAGAATTACACTTGAAAGTAAAATGACTAATCAAAGTTCGTTTTTTATTTTACTGCAACTTAAAAATGAGAGGAAACTGTTTGGACAGTTGATAGTGGATCACATGCATCTTAAACTACAGATACGTGGATACAATATTACGGTGTTATTTTCAACCGCAGATCTGTACTATTCGTGGTGACCTGACAATACGTCTCTTAGGAGAAGAAGCATGCGGTCAGCACATTTACAACCAGAACTCCGAACTCTGCTGTGCAGGCCACGTATACAACAAGCACGACCAGTACGAAAACCCACAAGAATGTTGCGGCAACAGTGTCCACGTCTACGCGCCCAGTCTCCAGAGCTGCTTTGCCGGAAGTGTTTTCAATGTACCCAGGGACGTGGCTGGGTGAGTATCCATTCCTGACGTGAAAGGCTGAAGGCATTTTTTCTTATTCTCTTCAGCAATTTGGGATGAAAACTGCGTGCAGTGAAGGAGGTGCATGAGCCTGATGGCGCTCCTGATCCCAACCACTAGATTGCGTTCCAAGCTTCCAATCTCCACAGTTTTTCAGCTCCGAGAGTGTGACCCCCACTTCAGGGCTCTGCATACTGTTACCAGAAAATCTTTGCCGACTATTACAGAAAATTCTGTGCAAACACTTTCCATATTTCACAGATTAAGAGAAAAATTACGACTTCTGTGCTCTCATATCAGATCAAGTATCTTTCCAGACAAAAAAAAAATGCAAATTTCACCATTGAATATCATACACAAGTTCCAGCTTCCACCATCTTTAATCAGCTAACGGTGCCAAATTTCTTGATTGTTCCAACTCTTCAGATTCTGCAGGGACACGGTTTACAACACCGACACCAGTGCCTGTGACAGGAACGGCCTCGTCCGTCCCCGTAGTGAAGTGGAAGCCTTCCCGTCACTCTGCGGCACTGGTCCCTACCTCAGGACCTGGACCCCATACAATCCTGCAGACAACGAGTGCTGTGGAGATGTCCTGATTGGCCAAGGCCAGACATGCTGTAATGGACGGGTCTACAGCACTCCTGGCACAGCCCTAGGTGAAGGACGGTGCTGTGGGCGTAACGGAGGCTACAACGCTAACATGCACATCTGCTGTAACGGCAGGCTATTCCCAACTGCTGGTAACAGAGGTATGGGGTAAACTCTTTAAAAAAAGTACTCTTATGAGATCTCTTTATACATCAATACACATTATAAAAAATTCAGATCAAACAGACGAAGATACTGTGGATTTTACTCTTCCGTACGTGCAGCAGCGCAATATTTGTGTCTACGTAATTTTAATAAAACAAATCGCAATGGCTGAAGAATAATTTTTTCAACTGCGAAGCACCAACTTCAAGCAGCTGCTAGCCACAGAAAACATTTGCTAAGCGAAGACAGGTCAATGGCCCAAGTGTCATACAAATAAACACAAAACTGGTTCTTAGCTGTATTTTAGCTTAGCATATAAACTTGCATTTTCTGCAAGGCAACTGAAGCTCTGGTGCCACTATTGATTTCAATATCCATGCAGTGAAAGACCACAGAAAGAACCCAGATATTGTCCTGGCAAAGATACAAAATCCAAAGTATTTGAAATATTTCACCTAATGTCCCCCCAACATGAAATGTTGTGGTCCTAGACCAAGACTCTATCTCAAATATCTAACCTAAATTTTCTTCCAGACATGAAATGTTGTGGGCCCAGACCCTATGAGCCTAGTGACGACACCCAGCTGTGCTGCGCCGGTAGGCTGTTTCCTATCGAGGGCGAGCGCATATTATGCACAGACGGCATTGTCCACAGTCTCCAGGAAACCGTCTGCGAGGGAGTGAGATACGGAGTTGCCAACGGAGAGTGCTGCGGCAAGGTTCTCATGGACGACACCAAGACATGCTGCCAAGGATTTGTGTGAGTATTTAATGAGACAGAATGGATGTGGCGACCTCAACACACATGTAGTCAATCCTATCACATCCCTGGAGAAAGCAAATGAGATGCAAGAGTAAATGAAGTATGTTCCATAGACAGTGGTCAAACCAATCAGTGCCCTTTCTAAAGGACTCTGGGAAGCTGATTGGAAAGGGCGTAACGTAATCATGGTTTCACAATTTCAACCCAAAGGAACAAGATGTCACATACCAAAAAAAGTTTCTTCACTTTCTTTTTAATTGCCTTCTCTTGACAGGTATTCTAAAGAAGAGCATGGAACAGAGTGTTGTGGGAGGGTGGCCTATGACCCATCAGCTCAACCACAACCCCTGTGCTGCGAGGACTCTCTCTATCCCAGTGCCCCAGGGCTGCAATGCTGTGGCAACCAAGCCATCGACCCCACTGAACGCCAGTGCTGCGGAGCAGAAGGGCACAGGTTTGCCTTCCTCAGGAACTCCGGCCATACATGCTGTGGGCAAACCGCTGGTGACTACGACCCATCCCAGCACACCTGCTGTCAGGGTCTGCTACACAAGTTTGTACAGAACGGTGATTGCTGTGGAAATGATGTCGTACGCAATTCCTCCAAGGAAATCTGCTGTGGCGGTATCGTTCAGGTAAGAAACTCAAATATAAACAAAATTGGCAGATACATGTACATTTGCAGTTAAGAATTCGTATCAGAAGCTTCAGACCATAATATTTTTGTAAATGTTTATAGTACTGTAGGGTGAGGAAATCAACTTAATACTTTTAAATTTTGTAATCTTTTTCACAAAAATACCACAGCGTACACATCAAGTAGAACATGCAGAAAAGAAAACAAGCCCCAACTATGCGATCATAAAAACCTACTCTATCAATTCTGGAACGTTTCTTAAACTGCACTCTCTACTTCAAAACAGGTCAAGAGTTTTGAAAATGATACAGTTTGCTGCAATGGCCACATCCTGGATGGTCGTCGTTATCAATGCTGTGGCAATAGAAGTCTTCAACGCCGGTCCACTTCACAATGCTGCAATGGCATTGTCTATGACAGCCGTCACCAGCAGTGCATGGAAGGGGAGGTGCAGGCCAAGGGTGCTGAGGAGACGACCGTCCACGCTCGAAGAATATTTGCCAGGCAGACTGAGCATGCCCAGAGGATCACCCAGGATGCAACGGACATGGCAGATGACGACATCGAAAAGACGACCGATGCTGAGGGCCAAACTGCTCATGTCCACGAGAGGATGATACCACGCGGCTCAATGGAGGCAACCCTAGTGACATGTGACAGCATGGACTATGACAGTGAAGTCAAGGGCTGTTGCCATGGGGTTCTGTACAGGCTTGCCAATGAGACCTGTGCAGATGGCTTGGTGCTCGGTCTCTGTGATGGACAGGATGCATACAACCCTCTCACCCATGGCTGCTGTGGAGATAAAGTCTACAACCGCAGTGTAGATTACTGTGATGAAACAACGACCTTGGTCAATCCCAACACCGAGTCATCAGGACAAGGCAACAGCACCCAGACCAGCACTAGCACACCTGGAGTCCCCCTGTGTGGAGGACTAGGGTACGATCAGGCTCTGCAGGGATGCTGTGATGACAGAGTATACAACCTCAGCACCGAGTACTGCCATAACAACAGCATGGTGATTCCGAAGTTCCCAAGTCAACCAGACCGAAGGCAATCCACGACCGTCACCACCACGATTGAATCAGCAACTGATGATGGTTTCTTCTTGGTAACCCATGAGCCATGCTCAGTCATCCGGGCTAGAGAGAATGTATCTGACGATCTCCAGTGCTGCGGCAGTCTCTTGTACAATCCCCTGAATGCAACCTGCTGTCAGGGCATCACAAATGATGGTGACACCACCGTGGTCGCTTGGAGCGCTGTCACCGAGGGCGTAGTCGCAGGTCACTGCTGCAGAGAGACGGCGTACGATTCTTCCACGGCGGTCTGCTGTAATGGAGAGGTGGTGAGGAAAGAGTGGCTGACACCAGATGTGTTCAATGGATGCTGCCCAGAAGGACAGAGCTGGAACCGTTTCTTGGAAGCGTGTGAGCCAAGCCCGACCCGGGAAACTATCTTGACTGACGGTCCATCAGGCATGTCACCTGATGAATACTAAGCATGTTTCTTTTAAAAATGCAAAACAGACTACAGCCAATCTAAATCTAAGCCGTGTTTCTGGCTGTGGCTTCATCCTGTAATATACATGTAGTTTTAAAACCATGAGAAAATATCAGACTTCCATTTTGGCTTAATGTATTACCATAATTTGATCTATATGAAGACCCAATAGGTCTTATCCATGGAAACTACATGTAACTTCAGGAAGCTGAAGCTGGAAATCACCATCGGAAACAAAGGCAAAATTTGGTATAAATATCATCAAGTACATAACAAGTGATGTGATGTACCACATTAAGCACAATATTATGTAAGCTACATTAGCAAGCACTGAAATTATTTTTAATGTTTAAACACCAAGTAAGTGTATCCAACACTACAATACATGTATATTACCTTCCATGAGCACATTCAATTTCTTATTTATTGGGTTTGTCAGTTGAAAGTAGCTATCATTAGATTTAATATTTATTGCAATAAGATGACTTATTTATTTGCACTATTTATATATTTCCACTTTCACTGAAATACTATAACTTAAAATGCACTCATGTATTTTACAACACTCAGTGATGTTGATAAAAAGGGACTTTAATGGCACTTTCTCTTTCTTTCAAAATTCATACAATTCAAAAAATGAGATTTTTCATAAAACAAATTTTGCAGTTTTGTAAAAGAAATACTAGATTTTTTTACAAACACGTGAAAAATGATAGTGAATTCATTTCATAAGTCTTATCTGAGTACCAACCTTATCAATTAATCCAAATTGATAACTGATTTTAATTAGGAGGATGGTCTTGAGCACAAAATTGAGCTGCCTGAGTTCAGGGAATCCAAACAGTTGGACAAAATTTGTGTCAAATGTAAAAAAAAGGGTATCTTCACAAACCAAGAAATTTGGCACAAGTACAGTCAGCTTGATCAGTCGGTAATTAACTCAATGATGCATTTTCACTTGCCATTTTGGAACTACATTTTACAGGCCCAAGTTAATCTTTTTAAAAATTATATGAATAATGTTTTAACTTATAAAATACAATTTGATGGTCGAAATGAATATTGCCAGTCTTTCCCCCATAAGTAAAAAGTATGGAACAAGTGACCTCAAACTTGCCAATAAGAGGGTAAAATCTGCAAAGTGTAGAGTGTCCAAAAGACACAGTATCACTAGGAATGTTTTTTCCCATTGTTTACATGTAGTGTTTAAATGCATCAGAAAGAGTATGGTATGTTTAACTCTGGATTTTGATATATTACTTTTTATTCATGGTGTAACACGTTAATGGGTAAAACAATGTGCAAGTGACAAAAAATATAAAAGTTTCTTTTTATTTCTCCTATTATTCAAAGTAGCTCCGGCAAATTCCAAGTCACATTTTGCCGGAGCCTCGAAGTAGTACATGCCATCTTATATTAAATTGACCACTGCAATATTTCCTCATGTTATTTCAGGTAGAGTGCATTAATGTATTTTTCACTTTGGTATTTAATACATTTTAAACCCTCCATTTGTTTTTCACACTTTTTCAGGGTTTTCACTGCTGCCATATTCCACAAACAGGGTGCTTTAAGTGAATTACTGAATATTCATATCTTTATTAATGAGCAGTATCATTAAAGAAGTCCTAGGTAACAAGGGTAGACAGCCAGATATTTGCCAAGGTAGTAGCAACTTGAAGGGTATTAATATATATGAAGGGTATTTATGTCACATTGATACTTCCTTGGAGTGAAAGGTACTATTATCGTTTTTCTTTTGCATTACAATGCCAGCATGAAGCCATTTATGTGTGTGCTAGTACAAGGGGTGTGCTAAATGTATGAAGCATTTCTGTGGCTTAAATATAACCTCAAGTACTCTGGAGAAAAATTGTGAACAAAGTTTTTGTGATTTTTATGTTTGTGTCTAGAAAAGGAAGAAAGTGGCACGCCTTTCCAACAAAAGTCCACAATGACATATCTTTAACACAACACTGCTCCTCAACTGATTTTGCCCATCTACAATTTGACATCTTCAACTGCACACGACAAAGATGGGCACCAAATCAGGGCCTGCAACTTACAAATCCACCAGAAGTTCACTTTCATCAGCATAAAGTTAACTGAATCTGAACACAGTCTCAATATTCCAGACAGATGTTACATGACCGATGTCTATCAGCGCATCGGTGCCCTTACTCATGTAACTATCCACATATATAACACAGGGCACCAGGATTTTGTGTACAAGTGCATTTGTGATTTGGGCTAGTCAGAATACAGATGAGGGGAATCATCAAGTCATATGGTAACCAATACAAAGTTGGAAGCCTGGGTTCATAGCCAAATTGGGTTAGGCTCCAAATCTAATTGCCCATTGAGTTATTACTGCACATGTTCTGAGACAACTCTTACAGCATTTAGGGCATAACAATAATTCATACCCTGCATCCGAATCTCTTGTCTGGAGCTAGGTCTTCGCTCCATTGGATATGTGTGGAGACGCGTAAACAATAGATCTAACAGTAGCTTGGGAAGCCCGTTTTGGACACGGCCTTAAATACCTCAGACAGTCTCTCTATTCAACAACGTATGTATTAACATTTGATAATGCCCCCTGAGAAGTGATAATGCAAGCTGCATAAATCATGTGCTGGCACCTGGATACAAGACAGTTTAATTGGGTCTGACTGGTCAGGAGTCTGTGTGCACGCGACGCGCCACGCGCACACCAAGTTCATTGGAGGGGATTCTAGTGGACAACTTTCAAAGGAATATACCACAAAATGGACAGGGTGTTCAGGAAATGAAAGTAAAGTTTTAGAATGTTGACTTCTTTTGACCTTCTAAATAAAAAGGCATTTACGAATGGGAATAAACATGTGCTTGGCCGGTCTTAAACTAATGTTTAAGACCTTGCTCAGGAGAACCAACACTGATAATGCCCAAGCCTGTGGCTCTGCGGCTCGGGCATTAGTCGCATCCCTTCTCCTGAGCCGGTCTTAAACGACCGGTCAAGCACATTGAAATTGACATTACGAAGTATCTACAGTGAAATTGCTTGAGACCAGATGAGTCAAATTCATAGTCACAATTTCACATTAGTGTTGGCTTTTGTTCCGAGTCTGAACCGGGCTTAGCAGAATCCAAGACATACTTGAAACAAGTACAGTGAGTTCACTACCTACTAACTGCTGTCTTCAGAGAAGAATCCCCCGGCTGGCTAAACTGTCATCGTACTCCACTCCATGCTCTTGGTCCAGGACCCTGGAGGCATAACCCACCATATCCTCTCCCATCCAGGAGCCGTTGAAGCTGTCCAGGTGGCAGATAGCCATGTAGATTCGCAGCAGGTCGGTGGGGTTTACGCTGCCCGTTAGCGTTTCCTTGTCGTAGCCGAAGTCGTGGACTATATCTCCATGACCTGGTGCCCAAGCTCTGAGTTAGTAAAAAAAAAAAGGAAAATGCAAAGCAGGATTGCCATTAACAATATCAGTTAGGCTGATTCCAAACAAAGGAAAAAAATCTGTCTCCAGTCCAGAACTGTTGCAGAGAGAAACTGTAAAGTAGAAAAATTAAAGATGGCTGGTCTGTTACTATGCCAGAGTACATCCAAAAGCTTGCTTTCTGTTTGTCATCAACAGGTTGGAAGAATAAGGAACTTAAGAATGTCAAGTTGAGGCTCAGACCTCTTATCTTTTTCACCTGCTTTTCCCATCTCCATTTCTGATTTGGAATAAATTTGAGTAAACCGAGCTGTCAAGTTGACAACGTTGCTCTGTAAGATTTGCACAAGTAATACATTTTCCCCAGAACTGAACTCCTTGGACCCTACTTCAGATATTCCTTAAGGCCCTTAGGTGTCAATGCAATTCTTGACACCAATTCTTAATTTCAATCTTAATATCTCAAAAACGCAGTGAATGCCATTCAGTTTTGAAAGACAGCTTTTCCCAGGCACTTGGGTAGTTCTGAAATTCTGTTCCCAAATTTAGTATTCAAACTTTTTTGGCAGAAAAACTCCACAAGTAGACAGTTTTACAGCACATTCACCTGAACACGTAGCACAAGACTGACACTATGACTCACTTGACCACAGTCTATCTCTCTTTCTCTCTCTTTTTTTTTCTTGGGGGGGGGGAACTTACTCGATCATTTTTGACATAAGTTGTCTCCTCTTGGCCAGAACTTGACGGACAAAGTACACAAAGACAAAGGCTTGATGCTGAGACAGCTGGTGCTTGATGAAGAGGTCACGCTTAGGTGTCAGTCTCACAAGGCACAAACTAAGATCCTTGTCCTATAAGTAGGTAAAAGAAAATTGAGTCCAAGAAAGATGAACAAAGTACAGAGCAATACAAATGCCATCAGCCTACCCGACTGCCACTTACTCAGGACTATTTCTGAACACCCCCAAAAGACAGCTGCAAAATCTTTCATTCTGAATTAAAAAAGAAAAAAGCCAGTTCTTTTGTAAAAGGCAAAACATTATCACAGCTTTTCTAACTCCAGTTTTATCTCAGCCTTTATAACCAGCAAAGTGAAGTCATGCTTGATCACAGACAAGTTAACTGCAAGCTCTACTAAATGAGACCTGGTGTTTAATGTTTGTGACTCAAGACCTGAGGGCCACAGTTCAAATCCTTCTGCTAGCCACAATGCAAGGCCTTAAGCGTGTCACTTCACGCCTACTAACCTCTCTCAACCCAGGATTCAGGAGTGTAACTGGGAGACTAAATTAGCTGAACAGCAACCTCCAATAGACTGGCATCACACCCAGGGAGGAATAGAAGTATTATACAAACGATGGTTTGAGGGGAAGTCATGGGAATTACTAGTCCTGAGGTGTAGGTTGGCTTGACACCTCCAAATAAAAACTGGTCCCTGGGTGTAGGTCAGTTTGGCTACCTCCCAATGTGCAGTGAAGGGAGGAAGTCTAGCTGACCTACACTGATGGACAAGTCATACCCACTATATTCCAGACATAAGCCATGCTACACATGTACTTGTTTCATTACACCTTAAAAAGTTATTCATGAGCAAAATGATGAAATAACAAATTTAAGGTCAACATACAAGTTGTTTCTGAGCTGTAGAGTTCTGCATGTCTGGCAAGGACTATGAGAGAATGGTTCTGTTAATATTACATCACAGACTGCATGTACAACCACAAGGCAGTGAGCATGATACTCAACGGGAGGATGTCACCTATCATTATTATTTCCTGGATTCACAGCAATATTGACCAATAACATGTTCCAATTTTCTCATGAATATTTATGAAGGGTAGTAATCCAAGTTCCTGGCCAGATGTCCCAAATTGGATTGGAGCACCCTTGCTTTTTCTTCTTCATCCCCTCTAAAAAAAATAAGTCTCAAAAAAAAGGGAACAAGTGAAGTTCTCCTGATCTAAAAAAAAAGTCGACCCCCCAACAAAAAAAACTTACACTAAAATTCGTTCTGCTGGCCTCGCCACTTGAAGTTGGAAGACGAAAAGAAACCTGGGGTTCCTGAAATGGTAATACCACACGTGCTGGCGATCAGTTCACACCTACACTTTTTTCAAAATTAGTTATATAATGACTGAAATCAGAACATTACACTCCCACGTCAAAAATCACGGCTACTGACGGACTCCTCTTTGATGCAGTGTTCCTCTTCAAAGGGAAGAGATCTGTTTCAATGGAACCCAGACAAAGTCAAGCAAAATTTCTGCACTAGAACAATGACAACATGCTTTGGTGCAACGTTAGGTTTCACATTTTCTTTTTACAACACAGATTTCCAAAAGAAAAATCCCACACATGGACCTATCAAGTACAGATTGCTCCTTACAAACATTGATTCTGACAAGTTTAATTTTTTTTTTCTTCTTATTTTTTTATAAACTAAAGTAAAAACACAATTAAAACCATACTGAGTGAAGAAGTTCAATGTCACAGCTCATTTGCATCAGTGCAGAGAGGGCCCGGTACTTGGACATGTTGCCAGCTGGTTGAGATATCACCTATGGAACAAGACCACAAAAAAAGTCAGCCAGTGTTAGAAAGTGTAGGGACGTTTATTATCCATCCATTTCACAGTTACCAGTGGATCATTCTACGAGTTAGGCATACACACAAACCAATCCAAACACTATTTACAGTGAACACATAGGTCAGAGACAGTCTGTCAAGTTCATATGCCCAAGAAAGATGTTCTGCAAAGTGACACATTCAATAGGTTATTTCAACATTCGCTACAGTTGATGTGACAATATTAAAACTGCTCATCTCTTGAACATGGTATGTGCAGTCACCGATGAAGGTGATAATCAGTACAAACAGTCGACGTAAAAAATTCTTTCTGTGTTTGTCAGTTAGTGGCAGTAATCTCCACTTCCAGATGCCACTAAGATAATAGATATCTTACTACACACATGCGTGCAATGACTCTAAAAATCTCTATCTGGAATTTCATGTTTTCTTATCACAGGGCCAACAAAAAAGTTTCCTTGAACTTTATACCATCTTTTATTTTTATTTCTATCTTCAACTGCCTTCAAACGCATACTTACTTTGTAACATCCTTCAGACATGAAGACGTTAAACTGAACTCTACCGTACTTGAACGAGGACAACCTTTCTAGCAGTTGGCTTGCAATGAGGTATGCCTGTGTCCTCTCGTTACGGTGTGGTAAACTGCCGATTACCTTGATGGGTATATCTGACAAACCAAGAAAATTAAAATGAAAAATCATAAGGAAACAGTTACTTCAAGAATCTTGGAATCTTGACTCAAGAACCTGTGACTGCAGCACAAAGGTGTGAAATATGCAACATCTCTGGGAAGGATGGGGATTGACAGGAGCCTGGCTGTGGACAGGTTAGGAAACAAAGGAGTTTGAAATGAATATTTGCTAGGGGATTTACAGCTACACGTTCATCTTAAAAAAATTCTGACAGATGAAGGATTTTGGGGTTTGCATACATTTGACATTTTCCTCACGTCTGACGACATTTTTTAAAAAAAACCAAGTAGTGGACAGGGGGAGTAGAGGACTGTGGACTCATTTTTGTCTGGTACCTCAACTCTTCAGACCTCCTCCCTTCCCCTTTCTACAAAACCTAGCCCATTCATCCAAACATACCAGCCTCCCAAGGTACCGCCTTCAGCCCTTCAAAAACCTTGTCGATGCGGACCAGGGGCGGGTGGAGATCCTTGGTGCCATGGTAGTGCATGGCAAAGAAGTCAGCGTGCATCACCCTGAGTCGGCCAGTGGCCTTGGAAGCCAGGGCACCTAGGCCAGGAAGGTAAGGCTTCTCCCGCTCCAGGGAGACAATTTGAGGGGCACCTGAGTTGAGCAGCTGACGGGTGAGAATGCCAGGCCCTGATCAAATCGAAAACAAAACAAAGGATACTACTTCAGTATCATTTGACAAAACTGCACAAACAAAATACATAGTGGTAAGTCTCAATTTAGCAAAGTTAGGATGAAGTAAAAGGGCTGTAGAGAATGAACTTTTCTTGTTTTGCCAGTACATCTGTTCTCTGTGTTCTGCAGGAATTAATACAAGAATAAATCAAAGTCTGTAATGGCTCAGAACATCAGGTGCAACGGAGCCCTTTTATAACCAAAACCATGTTTATGTTAGCTTTAACTCTTCCCAGTTCCTTCAAAAATGCATCAGAGGGTTATAGAAGATTTTTAAGGATTAAGGAAGAATCAGCACAGCCACTTTTACTTGAACCCCAGCCCTCCAGGGTATTTGGGCTGGAAAACCTGCCAGACACATCCGTCTGCATCATCTGTCAAAGTGGCTTGCCTGTCCAGTGCAACAAGATCCAATAGAATGTTGCTGTGAATTTGCAGCTAAATTATTAATATAACATCACAAGTTTGCATTCACTTTTGTGTCAAGTAGGAACCAGCGTTTCATTCCTGCAGAGAGACAGATTTTGGAAAAAGCAAGAAAATTCCTCCAAATGCTCCAGAAGTCAGAGTTTATGTGAAGACTACACATGTACATACCTGGACTGGTCTCAACAATCAAAGCTTTCTCCTTGGCCAAGTTGCCATCAGGCCAGACCTTGTTCACTACCAACCGGGCAAGCTCAGGTCGCAAGACAAAACGGTTCTTCTTGGTCTTCCTGAGGCACTTGTACTTCTCCCTGAGCTCCTCGATGGTCTCTGCTGGAGGCAAGGTGGGTAGGTGGGATTGTACAGGGCTCTCCTTGGTTTGACGAGAAAGCTCGTCCTCTTCCTTGGGGGACCAGCTAAGTGCACTACTGGAAAACCTCTGGTTGTGAAGCGGGCACCTGTGGCACCTGGATTCCAAGTTGTAACTATCATTTCTCCTTAGTGAGAGGTTCCTACATTGCACTTTTGGCAAAATGCCCAAAATTTCAGACAGTCTGTCAGTTTTCACACCCTGTGATGAGATCACTGAACGGACGCAAAGGCTCCTGCTCAGCCTGCTAGTCAGCCATGCCAATGTCAGTGTGCCCTGACGCAGTGACTGAGACATTGTGTCCAATGACACTTGACAGGAAGTGACACAATCTGCAACTGACTGCAATCGTTTACAAACCAAGTGTTTTTCAAGCAGCTCTATGCAAAGACTGACATTGAAATCGACTGTCCTTCAGAAGATGAATAGCATACTTGTAGGTCTGTGCAAAGGGCATCTCGGGGGAAATTTATGCAGCACTGGACTTTGTTTTTCTTGGCCTGTTACTAATCAGTAACATTCTCCTGGCTTCACTGGCTTTTCTAAAATGCACAGAAAGAACATATATTGAAGAAGCAGGAATAATGTTGTGGTGCATCAGCAATAGCTTTATCTGAGGAGCCACCAGTGGTACCATACTAATAGAATGTTGCACGTTGAGGTGCACATGCATTTGGGTACATGTACATCACAAACCTGAGTGGTCAAAAAGGCAACTCATGTGTACATGCAACATGCACGTGACAATTTCATACCGTCACAGTAAAATACCCAATATAAGATGACTGGGGAAAAGTCCCATATTTACTGACGTCAGTAATTATTCTCTACACTGACCTAATAGCCGTCACAAAGCAAAAACATGTCCAGAAAAGTCCAATTTAGGAGGGAAAATGCCAAGTCGTTTACGAAGAAAACCTTTGCCTATCAGACAGATTCTGCTGTGATTCATATTTTAGGTCACTGTAGTCAGTAAGCAGTTTGCAGCAGTTTTGTATAACATACTTAGAAAACACAATTTTTCAGACCAGTCTCATAGGGTTTGTGCAAATGGTGTCAAGCAGCGTCCATATATGGAACTCTTTCTAATGACTGGTGCATAATGGAACAGACCTACACTACAATGGTACAATTTGTTAAAACAATCTATTGCTGCCATTCTCTCATCAGTCTCTCTAACAGCATCTATGGAGGAAAGAAGTGAATACTTCACGAACACAATTATGTGTGTCAAAAGTTGTGCCCCTTCAGGAAACAGTCATCAGCATGCGTGTGTAGACACTGCATACTTTTTGTGAATGGTCTGCTCGGCAAGCGTGTCATGACATCGTCTCTAGGACATTAACATACAGTTTGAAGAAGATGGAGACTTCGAGCTCAGCGCATTAGACAGTTTCAGGACTGTTTGGCTAATAAATTCTGAGGATTTTGATTTGGAGTACGAACCATTTCGAGTGAAGTGAATTAATGGGATGGAAAGCCTATGGAAGGTACTTGGACTCTACCATTGCCCGACCAACCATGTCCAAATGTTTCAAAAGGTAATTCGTAGAGTCCAAGTTACTCGGACTGGGAATCAAATAGGCCGATTGGCTATGTATGATGAGACATGACTGAAGGTCTATTGCTGATGTACACAAATATGGCGCTGCCCCAAATGTGGCAGACTTTCATTTTTTGCTTGTTGTCTTAACGGAACAAAATTTTATGCTCAAATTTCACAAGTAGGCCTTGTGAAACTTCTAATACTTTAATGTATAAATGATAAATCAAGATTTTAGGTAGCTGAGGTTTTCCAATTTTTTTTTCGGACCTGCAAAATGAACTCTTTTAAAATGTGTCCAAAATTAGGAAAAGAACTTTCGGACAAACATGTCGATGGTTATTTGAGTACCAATAATGATGCTTTACAAGAATTTATCTAATTTAAATGAATTTGCTACTGTTAATGTGGGATTTTCTGAGAACTTTCAAGTGCGCAACGTTAGGCCATAAGAATGAATATAACAGATTTTCATCCACCACCAGCATAGGCCTACCACTGAAACGGATGCTATTATTTCAGAAAAATCATTTGTTTTTCCGATCGGGAATGGTTAAAAAATGGCTGCAAAGTATATCGAGAGTTCACAGTGTGCCCGCATACAAATGGCGTATTGCTAGACGGACTGAAAGCTAGTCTACTTTCAAGGTTGGCTCCCTTTGCATGGACGCATACTCGCTATCCATGTCAGCTTATACAGTATGTACACCAACTAATTAATGAATAATGAAGCCTAAAGGGATTTCAAAATTGTCCGGACGGAAATCAGGGATGTTTATGCTCATGGCCTCAGGCATGTCTTAGGAAACACTCTGCTGAATTCGTGCATGATGTGCCCAGCATGTGCCAAAGTCGTATTGTTTACAAATGTTATGTCATTGGTCATAGGGCTGAGTGCCACATTTTTGATGATTTGTGTCAAGTGTGAGACACATTAACTTGGATAATGTTGAGACATTTCCCACAGACATTGGTCAACAATAGTTGGGCCAGCCCAACTGCAGCACTACAATTGGGACTGTCCCAACTATAGTTGGGACTTATGCTACAGTTGGGGCGTAACCCTCCGTCACGTCCGTAGGTACCGCTATGCAGGTATGGTACGCCATGGCCTTAGCCCCACTAGTGTGGCACGGACTCTCACTCCCGATCCATCCTTAGCCACACATCCGTATACGCAATTTCGTGTCGACGTATTGAACATTTCGGCGCACCCACTTATCATCGTGGGCGCAATTTGTTTTGCACACGAACATGATTCTTGACCTTTCTGCTTTCTAAAAACCATTTATTGAACGTGTTCTGTGTCAAGACATATGTAATACACGGACTGGTCGATAAGATACTACATGTAGCAATGGGCTCTTCCAAAACTTTGGCAGCAGTTTAGATGTCTTGACATGGAACAGCTGTAGAGACGATGAGGGGTCAAGTGACATAATGTTCAACGACCTTATTTTAAAGATGGCGACTGTGAGAGCGAGCCCATGAGATTGAATGGATAAAGGCAAAAAGACTGGAAAATACCTGAATAACGTGAGTGAACTCATTCAATAGATGGTATTTAGAAAGCAGAAAGGTCAAGAATCATGTTCGTGTGCAAAAGAAATTGCGCCCATGATGATAAGTGGGTGCGCCCAAATGTTCAATACGTCGACACGAAATTGCGTATACGGATGTGTAGCTAAGGATGGATCGGGAGTGAGAGTGCGTGCCACACTAGTGGGGCTATCCACGGCCTCTACCATGCCGACGTCGCCAAACACTTTTTCGATTGCCCAAAACAACACCAACAACAAAAAACAAATTTTATTTTAACACTTCCAAGTTCCAATTTGTTGTCTTACCTCTGTACAACCATGGAGCGAGCTATATAAAAAGAAGTAGCTGGCCACAAAGTCCCTGATCACGTTCCCAATCCAACGTCCCATGGCCGGCCCATGCGGGGTTCTTATTTTGTAACCCTAAGCCTTAATGTCGTCTCCAAAGTACTTTGGCTGGGGCTACCCTTAGGATTGTATGTAATTTCTAGCCGCAGCCATTTGAGACATATAACTGGCTGCCTAAAACCCTGACGCGCTCTATGTTGAAATACACATCCTAACTAGAAAAAGAAAAAGGGGGCCCGTCTATATCGTGCTAAACAAATTTCAAAAGAGGGCGCTATTGCAGTAAGTTGTAATTTGTACGTACGTACGTACTCGGCGCGTACGCGTGGCGGTGGTGGGTATTATTGATTTGACCAATTTATGAGTGAAATGTTAAAGTTCCTACTGTTTTTATTAACTTTCTGGCGGTTTGAAAAGAGACTGGAATGTGATGAAAGAATTTTGGGAGAAAATATATTTCGTACCCCACCACGATGGCCAAGCGCAGGGCCGGGCCTAGCCGGGTGATAGCATGGTGATATCCCCTCCTTCCTCCTTAGTGATATTTTTATTCCTCCATGATAGCATGTGGGTTGGCGGCATTGCCGCGCCCAGTCCCACCTCCCGGAAATACCCCACCACTCTAAAAAACGACCCCTTGAATGACTGGTTACGTGGGTACAAGGTGAAATCCCTTGAGAAGAGTCTGACACTTTGACCTGTACCTGGATATGACAGATATGAGGTTGATCGTGCGGGGTGGATGGCGGCGTAGTATGAGCTCCACCACCCATACACCACCCGCACTGTGTTCATAAAGCATTCACTCGACCATGGAGGAAGGAAAGACTTGCCGAAACATGTCCCCTTGAACTTCAATATGATGTCAAAATCTAACTTTAAGGGTAGATGACTGATCTAACCTGATACTGATATAGTGATAGACACACCCCCAGAACTGTGGGGTCCGACGTCCGTTCTGCTCCCACACGGGAGCAGAGCGGACGTCGGACCAAACAGTTCTGGGGGTATGATAGACACAGTTCTGTGTGCTAATGTACTGTTGCACTGGCTTTGGTGCAGTCAGTTCCCTCGGCTGGCCCGGAGACTCACTTGCCTTGCTGCAACAGGTCAAGTCTCCGAGCCACACTCTTGGGGCTGTAACCAACTAAGTCACGATCATGTCGATCCTGTTGCAAATTTTAGAGTGGACTTGATGTAGGGCTTTCTTCCCCTTTCAAGCCATCTTCCAAACATATCTAGAGCTGTGAACTTATGTTAGGAAGCAAAGGGGATTGAGTTGAGTGATGGAATTGTGCCACATAATAAGTTGATCACCCAGATGTGCAGATTTCATTTGACAGTATCATACATTTCAAAATAAATTTTTACTTTCTACTGTTTGTATGTCTAATTTTTTTGAAAATGAGTAAGACGTAGGAAAACATCTGAATGAAAGTCAATTTTGGCGATTCAGACATGGCTCCTGCATCGGGATAAAATTCTACTTTTGTATATACATTTAAGTGACAACACTTACTTTTAATGCCTGTGCATGTACTTGTTCAATTTTGAACCCTTTTACAATTGGGGCATCAAAATAAAGTGTTTCCATTATTATTTCGACTGTCTGTGTCTTTTCTATTCAACAACATCACTGTGGCATCATTTGTGGCCGTGTTTGAGTGTCCTCTTTGTCCAATCATTTGTATGCCGGGGATAGTCTTGGTTTACTTGCGATGACGTGAAGTACCGTGTCAACCTTTAGATCTGACACCCAGTCTCAAGACAACAATCGGAGCTGCAGAAAATGTATTTATTACACCCCAACTAAAGGCTAAAGCCAACAGAAGTGGAATGATTTTCAAAGTTGGGGGACCATTTGTGAAACCATCAGGCATCAGCTATTAAAGGACCTCCCCAACAGTTGGGGGAGGGGGCATTATCCTCAAGTCGAAAACTCGGGGTAGGGGCCAGTGTTGCCCTTCGCCCCTCCCCATCATTTCCACTGCCAGTGGATGAGGCATCTGTCTGTTCCAACTAGAGCGCTGAAGTTGGGCTGGCCCAACTGAGGTATGCCAAAGTGTGTGCCATAGTCATTTTGTTGTAAACATGCTGGCAGAAATATCATTTTTGTTTGCGTCATGGTTGAAGTGCTAGGTTGGCATACTTTTGGTGAATTTCTCTCAAATGTGATCTGCAAACAAATAAAGTTTAGAAATGCGCTCTAGAAATTTACTAACCATAGTGGAGCCAGCATTACTTCAACATTTTAGTGTGGACCATGCCAACTACATGAACATGTACATACATTGTTGAGGCGCGACATTCAAAGCTATTCCGAGGATCTGAAGATCACACAAATGTTCAGCTTATATCACTGAAATTTTTGCTGAGCTGCGCTTAGGGTACCTCACAGTTCCTAAATATGATTCATGTAAATATTATTATTAATTATTTTGTATTTTTCCTACTCTTAGTTTCTTACAGGGGATATTGGGAGTTTCAGTACTCTGTAAGGCGTAAAGATGGCGAGTTTCTCTGATAACCGTTCTGAAGCAGCCCAATGCAGCAACAGTAGGGACCGCCGGAGCAGCAGCAGTAAGCCTCACATATCATGCCACAGTCCACTCAAACCAAGCTACCTTCCTCCTGAAGATAGAATTGTCCGCTGGGCAAGCTGGGAAACTCTGAATTTTAGGTAAAGTCCCATTTTTTTCACTACTGAAGTGACTGATAAATAATTAAGAGGGTTCAATGACCAGCCAAGTTCGGATGTGCTCCCACCAGCAACCATTGGCAAAAGGTACAGGCTGTTCACTGTGATTTTCTGCACATTCAGTTGTAAATTTGAGCCCATTCTAAAAATCATTGTGGTTTACCTGTGATTTAAGAATGAAGGAGAACTTTAATTTTCAAAACACAAAACCACAGTTAACAGAGACTCTCTGTACTTCAGCCAATGATTGGCATCAAGTTTTGCTTACTTTGCCAAACTGTGATCTGAACTTCTCTTTATCACTTGATTGCAGATATAAAGCCCCCCTCAAGCCTTCTAGAAAACCAGGTTCAGCATCAGGATCCAAGAAGAAGCAAGTAAAGCCCAAGAAAGAGGCAAGCAAAAGTGGCTGCCAAGACTCCAAAAAGTACCATTCCAAACAGAAAAAAGATCCTGATAAAACAGATCATCAGGAAGCAATGGTATGTTTAATGTCAGGTTGTTTACTACCTGGTACATGCGGTTTATTTGTTATATGGTGCTCTAAAGATGTTAACTGCACTCCATAGACATACATAATTAAATGATTTGGTTCAGTTGGGGAGCATTTGTGAATTATGATATGTAATGTATTAGCTAACTCACACCTTTGACTTTTGACACCTAAGAATCCTTTTATGTAAAAGAACTGCTACTAGCATTGCTTAATTTATTTGAGAGTTCAGTTCCGTGATTTTAAAATCTGGAGAACGATTCATTTCCAAATTTTCATTTTGTGGAAGTCCCAAAGCTTGTCACAGTGACTGTCTTTGTTTGTGTAGGGCCGTTTTCCAATACTCAACTTCGTCTCCGTCTCAGGCTTCGTCTTTGAAACCAATCTCCGATTGTGGGCCTGAAGCATTTAAATAGACCTACAACATAATGACGTAATGCAGTGTTTACCGCGGTGAAAGGTGGGGATGTGTAACGCATACTATATACGCCAGAGCTGTGTATTTTAACTTCCACGGGACCGCAAAAGGCGACAGATTTCCGTGAGAAATAAGGCCATCAAAGCGAAGTCCAAGTGGACCTCTGTATGCCACATGTATGCAGTCTACATTGTGTAGGCAGAGACAAAACTTACGATGTACCAGATCCAACAATTTTCCCGTGGACAAGTGAGTGGGAGGAGATTGTTTCCCAACAGATTTGGAACTTATCCAAATCTGTCGCCTTTTGCGGTTCCGTGGAAGTTAAAAAATGGCAGCTCTGGCGTTCGTTGAGTGTTTGATAAACACAATGGAGCACAGCAGTTCACATGGACCATTTCAGACGATAATCAGGATTTCAAAAATTTGTTCTTTTTTTCGTGTCAGGTTGATACACACGCCATATAGTATACGTTACACATAATGTGTCACGTCGACGCGTTCCTGCAACACCTTTCACCCACAATGCACCACGGTAAAGACTGCATTACGTCATTATGTTGTAGGTCTATTAAATTAAAGGTCTGTAATGTTTGGCTCGTTTGCATCTTACTTGATGTTTTGTGACACTATCAGACTTATTATTGCGCTTACTACTTCAAAGTCAGGTAGTAAAAAAAAACAGTTCAAGCCTGAGACGGAGCCAAAGTCGAGTGTTGGAAAATGGCCCAGTTCTTGCAACCAGGAAAGTATGTGTATACAGGCTTGTCAACAATGTTGCACATGTCTCTGATGTGGCTGTGTGCGATTGCATTTTCACACCTCTTAGGCAGAGTCAGACACCCCTTGTGTTGCTGCCGCAGCAGAGGACAGCACCTCTTGTGCAGATGGTCCTCTGACCTCTGATGACCTGGAGCATGCTGGCTGTCACGTCAGTGCATTGCCCCAATGCTGCTTGCTCCGGATCTTCAGCTACCTACCCATCGGTGATCTCTTGAGGACGGGCTTGGTTTGCCAGGCATGGCGTCAGCTTTCACTGGATAAGAGCATCGTAGGTTCCATTGCACTGTCTGATTGCTTTTAGTCTCCATATTCTTTTTGCATATGATTAGTCTAGAGGCTTGTGACAAAGGACTGACCGTTGGTCATCTTGGCCAAAGACATTCCCTTGTCATGTGCCACTTTGAACTTGTACCATCTGTGCACCAATTTGGCTGCAAACCTATGTCTTCACATCAACTTTGCTATATGTACATTAACTCGAACCAGTAGACTAATTCACATTTAAGCCATGCCACAAGCCCTGGCTAGACCAGGGGTAAGCCCAGATCTAATTAATTGGTACCAGCCCTGTGACACAAAGATTATTCTCAACTTTAAATTTCAGTGGAGAAGTGTGGCTCTTGAAGATGCCAACATTTTGAGCTGGAAGAGAGCAGCCAAGGCCTTCCAGATCCACGGCACCATTGCCCTAGTAAGTCTTCAAATATTTGAGTTGTTTGCTTGTTTGTTTTCACCTTCTCAAATCCTCTAAAATGCTCCTTGCCGAAGTGGAGAATTTCAAGGAATTAAGGTTGCATGTCAGAAATATGTGTGGCCCAGTGGCCCTGCCCATTTCGGAGGGTGAAGTATGTCCAAGTCTATTGCTGGACCTTGTGTTTTTTATCCACACTCATGCATTAATGTAGGCCTAGTTGATACTTGAACTCATCTGCATGTAGATTGCTCCAGGATGTCATTCGCACTGTCTCGGCATGTTTGGATTTTCCAGAGGATTTTGAAGGATTTTGAAGGATGCAGTCAGGCTTGTGAGTTGGCAAAAACTTGTAGACCAGATATGAGAAGGCTGTAGGGCCAACAACAGTTAAGGAAAGGGATCCCCTCCAACTAGTGGAACTGATGCGTAATAGGGCAGTGTTTAAGTTTTGTCTGTCAAGCTTTGTTCCGTTTCTAAAAATTTGTATGTTTGTCTGTGTCACCTATCTTGAAGATCTTTAAAATGGCCAGACGAAGGAACAAGGTTATAGAAATGACAAATGTAAAGGAATTTTGCCTCCTGCTCTCTACTTGTAGAACAGATTTGGGGCACTAAAAGGGTGATGGTTTTAGTTTTTGTTATGTTTATCATCTGTTCACAATAACACCCTCCTGTGTGACCCAACTCGGATGTCCTGAAAAAATTCCTTAATGTCTTTGTCATACCAAACCAAAGAAAATTTTAGCTTGATATCTTAATTTTTTTTTTTTAGAGCATCTGAAAGTTCTGGTGTCAGGCTACGTTTTTGCACCAATGAATTGCTTGCTCTGGCAGCATCCTTGAAGGAATGTGTTCGGGCAAATCTGATTCAGATCTTATCTGGGTTCCCTGATTTTGTATGATTTGGCATGGAATGACCCCTCTTAAGCATAATCTTCACCTCCGTCTCCTAATTTCAGGATTTTTACAACATGGAGAACAAAGGAACAGCCAACTGGGACAGCATGTACTGCGTTTTTAAGAAGCTGCCTGGCTTGCAGTACCTGCGCTTTGGGTATGTCTACACAGGCTTACTTACGAAGATCATCCAGCACCTCCCTGACTTGAAGGTTCTAGAAGTCTGCTGGCTTACTGATGAGAACTCAGAACCCTTGTAAGTATGTCTCCTCCATCAGGATCAGTGTTGTTGCTAAGATGTTGAGCTTTCCTGGCTTAAAGGAGTTGAATCCGTGGTAATAATGTAAACAGGCATGAGTGGAAAACAATAAAATTGACATTACTACTAAGAGAAATTTATCTTGGTGTTATAAGCAGGTTTTTAAACAAAAGGTTAGGCCCCGCCTGGTTGCTAAATACATTCATCATTTCTCAAATGATCTATTTGAGGATTAGGTGTAAGATGTAAGCTGTAAGCAACCAGTGAGCCAGTTCAGTATTCCAACTGCACATGCTCAGTACGAGGCTATTCAGGAACAGCTATGTGTGCACTTGATAGTCTGTCCTATCAGCACAGCCATTTGCCGACTCACATGCATGCTTTGTTCCCGAAAGACCCTGGCTTTTTTAAATACCGAAGTCGGTCATTCTATTAATCTGCTGTTTTGTAATGGTTTTGTAATGTAAATTTTCTAAATATGCCACAGTTTTTACTCGCCCTGCTGTTTATGGCGAACCAAAGTCTACTTGATGCATGCCCATTCTCCTGATTTGACTGGATGTGAAAGGGACCAGGCACCCCGGGGGGGAGGTGCATCATGCAAGTGATTGTTGCATTTAATACATGGTTTATATCGGGAGTGAAAGTTAATTGAGACTGGAGTCTCGATATGAAGCAAGATGTACATCTTGTTTTGCATTCCCTAGGGATGGAGTTACCTTTGACCTTGGGAAATTGAGCAAACTAATCCATCTGGAGGAGCTAAAGATCCGATCAGTCAGCAGCCTGCTACAAGCCTCCATGTCTTTCTCTGGTGGCCTGGCAAGCATAGAAAAGCTGAAACATCTACGGAAGTTGGTTAGTATTGTTCCATTGGTGTAACTTAACGCTTCACATGAGCGCGTATTACTTTCACATCATTGCTGCTGTTGAGATCCCTTGAGACCATCACAAGACCCCATAAGACCATCACGAGAACAATATAAGACCTCTAATTTGAATTCAAGTCACAAGCTATTCAAATTAAATTCAACGGTAGCATTTCTTCTTCCTAGTAGTAGTACTGCAAACAAACTCCTCAAACAGGATAAACTGTTGCAGATGTGTCGTGGCCAATGTATACTAATCGTGGGCTCCCCTGATAAAAGTAGTTAGATCCATCTTAATTAATTTGTCGGTAGCCTGTCAACTATTGTTATTTGTCGTATGTCAATTGGCAGTAGGTTCCACTCAACCATGGTTCTTGGCAGAAATGAGTATTTGTAACGGTCCTTTTTGAACAAAGGAAGTTACAGTTGATTTCTGGGTGTGAATTTTATGGGCGGCTTGTGTGAGACACTGCTGGTCCTTCTTTGTGACTGGTCTTGTGTCTTGTCTTTA